GGGATCTGTGCTCGCCCATTTCATTATGTCTCAATGATGTTGAAGAAAGCATCAATTTTTATTATATTTTTTGACAGTCACAATTACAAAGAACATAATGTAAATATGTAAATATAGTTCTAATCCGGAAAGTGACAGAGCTGCAGAAGAGTAATTAAATGGCCCACATTAATCGTTACTGCAATGTTCTTGTGCAGAGGACGTCGAGGGTCACCTAGTGGTCGTCTTCGTCATTATAATGCGACATCTGCGCCCATGCGTCGGATCTTCACGTCCAGCCGCTGGCGGGTTTGGCGCAGCCGCTCCGCCGCACCCGCGCTGTACTGCTCCCCCTCCACAACCACAATGTTTAGGGTCCGCAGCGACACGCACTTGGCCAGGAACCCCAGCCCGGGCTGGTCATGGTGGAGGGTCAGCTCGCGCAGACGCGGGAGCCCGGCAACTAGCTGCAGCGTCGAGATGGACATTCGGACGTGGAGCGAGTACAACCCGAGGAAGTGGACCTCCTCCAGGGTGGCGGCGTGCATCCGTAAAAGAAACTGGGCAAAAGGTTCGGCCCCCTTCACCGCCATGTAAAGTCTCCTAAGAGAGCTGCCCCGCTCGAGCCAAAACTCGCCGCACATGCTGCTGCTGAGCTCGAAGGGCTGGCTCAACCTGACGTTCAGTGCAAGCTCCTCCAGCCCAGGTGTCGACATCAAAGCCCCGAGTAGGACGGGGGCGTCAGCTTCACTCACGGTGGATTCACGGAACCTGACACCCACCCTCTTCAGTCGGCCGATGGTCGCCTGGCGCTGGATCAGCCGAGTCGCGAGGGCAGCTGCGTGGGATGTCCAAGCCACGTCCTTCACCTCCAGACCTGCGACGGCGCATGTGGACGTGTGCAGGTGGCGGCAGGCACTTTGACCCAGCGGGAGGACGACGGTGACGTGCTGCAGGCACGGCGCCAGCCGCAGCACCGCGCAGGTCAGCGTGTTTTCGCCCTCCACGTCGATCGTGCTCAGGGTCCGGCGCCGCCACGCGCCCGGATGCAGCGACAGCACGCCCAGCCTCCGGCACACGAGGCGGCAGCTGAGGAGGGTGTCCACGTCCAGGTGCTGCATCACCCGCAGCAGCACGTTTTCGGGCAGCTGGTCCAGGGTCGGGCGCTGCGAGCGACAGAGTGAAAGAACTAGTGGGTACAGGAAATAAGAACAAAACAAAATAACCTACATCCAAAGAGCTGTATGGTGAGTGGCGGGTGGGCGCTCCGCTCCTCCCTGCGACCACCCCCGCGCACCCTGCCCCCCGCCCGACGATTTTTGTTTCCCCCTTCCCCTGCCCAGCCGCTCAAACGACTCGGCCCGTAAGCCGCCCATCATCCACCGTCACCGACTACACCGCGATAAGTATTCGCTCAACATACCTGCTCCTGTTCGGAGGGAGTGGTGCTGAGAGTCCGGTGTTGGGTCCGTTTGCAGGAGCGAGGTGGTTGCGTCCGGACCTGCTTGCCGCTCGGCTTGCGGCTCCTTTTATTAGCCATACGTCTCTCCCGATACTCCCGACCTATTCAGAAAGCACAGGAGGTCAAGTAAAGTCTTGGTTAATCTATCGAAGAACCACTGCGACGCCAGCCCCCGCATCCCAGCAAAAGCGTAGCGGCACTGCAGCCATCAAGAGTCACCATTTTAAAATAGGTGCATAGAAGAGAAAGAAAAGGCAATGTTGTGTCCGGGGCTTAGGTTTAAATCATGAGCGTGAGACTTACTTGCCATATGGAACTAAAGGTGAGAGGAGAGAGGGCAGGTGCTTGGTGCTCGCTCGTACGCAGACTGTCCCTATGGGACCTGTTTACTGGAAATGAGAAATATAAATGCTAAAAGCGTATGGGGCAGCGTGAACGCAAATGAGTTGCGCCTAACCTAACCCAACCTAACCTTATCTTGGTACATACATATTTCACGATTGTTCCCAAAAAATGTATTGCTTTGCAGATGGAATAGTGCCCTGAGCCCCGTCTATGGATGGCAAACTCCAAAAGAATACTATTTTACACTCGTGGATGCAAATGTCAACCATGATAAGGTTTAGGTTCGCCAGCACTACACGCTATTCGCGCTTACACTTACCTAAGCACAGCGTACTATCTACTTTCCGTGCCCTGGTGCCGTTGTACTTAGAAGCCGTCTACAGTGCACTGTATTGCTGATGTTATATTCTCGTCATTCGAATCCCAAGAGAATTTACATGTGATCACAGTACGAACACCGACATGTCTGGTCTGCCCCTGGCCCTAACCTGGCCCTACCGACTGATTCCGAAGAGCGCTCTCTTATACGTTCCGTATAGCTCCGTCCTTGTCGCACTCATGGAGTCGCTCCCCTTGAGCGTTCTTCGGAATCAGTCTGCTGGCGGCGTCCGGTCACCAGTGCGCCTCCGCAGTCGCGTGGCGCAGCCTAGCGTCCGACCTCCGAACTCGCGCAGCGAACACTGCCAATATCATGTCAAACTGGAAGAGATACAGATCCCATGTGGCCGAATAACCCTGCGCACTTCTGTAGTCATGCTGTACCGCATTCCAGCGTGCGGGAGGGTTGCCTACTCGCTCGGCCCGTAAGGCGCCGTGGACAGGAGCAATAGGCAAGCCGCCCGCACTCGTGCGTGCGGTACAGTTAAGTATACCTACGGAAGTGCGCGAGATTAAACAGCCTCCAGGTATAGATATAAACCCCCAAACGTTCATCCAACTATTGTTTCGTTTTGTTTTCTAATCTACATTTTTAAGGGACGAAGTAGTGAAGTTTTGCTGAATAGAGATGCCATCTCCCCCCAAAGGAGTGACATTTCCGAAACCATATTAATTTCCTTAACAAAATCCTCTTTTTTTCTTTGCGCTTATCTTTTTTTATTTTGTGTTGTCTTTACCAATGAGAACTTATTCTTGTCGATTCGGTTCCCACCATCACCGCACCGCTTGCCCGCCTTGCGCCTTGCGCCTTCCTTCCCCCTATCGTGTTAGAATGAATGCAGTGCTTGATGACTAATCGCCACTCGGCTTTATCTTACTGTGTGTGTGTGGGGGG